TCCTACCCCGTTCCTAATGTTTCAGCGAACAGCACGGGTTCCGGGGCGGGGCCGGGTTTGGCCCTGTGAGAGCTGTGGGCGGAGGATATGGTGGTGCCTTGGGTGGTGCTTATGGCGGCTACGGCCAGTACTTCGGAGCCGGAGGTTATGGTGGAGCGTACGGGTAGGTTGGTTACGTATGTCTACTGTTTCTCTGCTTGCTTGTCTCTTTTCACAGAGGTACAGGAATAGTGACTTCAGAAAAAAACAACAACCAACATTCACATCCTTCAGCAATCATGTTAAACCGGAGCATGCATTATGATTTTCCATAGCAATACTAGAATGTCGAGTACGGACCTTCTAGAGGAAAAATAATATTACCATTACCATTACTCATAGCAATACGAAGAGGTAGAGGAATACTACAAGGGTTATCAAAGAGTAAGATTTAAAAAAGGGTTACAGTTTTCGAAATGAATAAGATATTATAAAAGAACGTTAAGAATATATTAAAGACCTAAAATAAAGCTTTAATGATGAAGTACTAAGGAGAATAGGAATGCATTGGAAATGAAACTAAACTATTATGGGAATATCAAACGCCTTGCTTCATTCGCAAAACATTATTATTATGGGGGCAAAGTGAAAAGCAAGAGAGGAAGAGGGAGGCGGAGCAGAATTATTGTCATTCGACAACACTTGAAGATGCGCTATTTTGAGGTATAACTTCTCTTTTCACCGAACTATTTTTCAATTCTGTTTTCTTAATCTGGCATTTCAGAGGGCAAGTAACGACATGTTTACGATGAAATAGGCAAAATTGTGTTTCTAGTTATTTGTGTATGATAATTCGAAGTGTGCCGGAACATTGCCTTTTACCTGCTGCTGATCGGACAAATGTTAATAATTATATAAATTAATGTGGGCGTTACATCCTTATGGAGCAAAGAGTTATTTCTTTTGTCCAATTATTGAGAAGTTGTAAGCTTGCTTCTTCCTTCGTATAACGCATATTTTGATGATAAATCTTTTCATCTTCTCCAGCGGAGGTCTGGGAGTAGCTGGAGGTCTGGGGGCATTTGCCTTCCCGGCTTTTGGCAGTGGGGGTATCCACGGGGGTCTCGGGGGTCATGGAGGTCATGAAGGCAAAGGACCTCACGGGGATTCTGTTCCGGGGGTCATCGCAGAGGTCAATGTGAGTCCAGGCACAGCTTCTGAGATCAACATCGACAATCTGTCTGGCTACAGCTCTCTCAAGGATCTGGCTGGTCTTGGTGTTGTTGTAAGTATATTCACTCATTCAATCATTCTCTTGTTCTCGCATTCACTCATCCGTTCATTCTATTCTCTTATTCTCTCATTAACTCATTCATTCATTCTCTAATTCTCTCATTCACTCATTTAATTATTTGCCAAAAAATTGCTGGGTCCTCTTTTCAATGGCTGTGTTGTTGTTATTGTTGTTGTTGTTGTTGTTGTTGTTGTTGTTGCTGTTGTTGTTGTTGTTGTTGTTGTTATTGTTGTTGTCGGTCTTGTTGTTCTTGTAGTTATTATTGTAATTATTATTGTAGTTATTGTTATCGTCTGTGTTGTTGTTGTTTGTGTTGGTATTATTATTGGTATTGCTGTTGTTTCTGCTGTTGTTTGAATTGTTGTTGTGTGTGTATTCCCTGTTCTTCGCTCACGGACTGTGCTTGAATCCCCCCAGGTGTGCCCGTCTGACTCTGTAGACAGCGACTACGGCAGTGCCAAGTGTGAGGGCGGCATCCTATCCTGCTGTGCTCTCCACTACGATACTGAGGACCAAAGTCTGAGCGTCCACAGAGGTCGATACTAGGACGTTGAGCCGGCTACATAAAATTAATAGTTTACTTAGCTCATGAGATGGGTACACCTTGAAAGACGATTGCAGTTTACAACAAAAAGAAATTGATCGCTAATGAACAAAACGAAAGCCTTAAATTTAGATTAATTAATAATTATATTTTTTATACACCTCCCAGATGTAAAGTGAAACATGCAATGATTCACCCGTAACTATGTCCTTTATGTGTATTATAACGTCGAACAAGCTCGGAAAGGTTATCAACCGATTAGAAAAACTCAGAGCTTGATGTCTATATGACATGGTAGAAATTTGAACTGGGTGCATGCAATAATAAAGGCACTATAAAAGCAATGGATTCTTTTGAATTGTTTTATATATTTAATTCACTCATTCAATTATTTGACGACTTATTGTTGTTGTTGTGGTTGTTGTTATTGTTATTGTTGTTGTTATTGTAGTTATTGGTGGTGGTGGTTGTGGCGGCGCTCTCGTGTATGTGTATGTATTTCTCTCTCTCTCTCTCTCTCTCTCTCTCTCTCTCT